GTGTCTGACTTCTCCTCATGTTTCCATTCATCAGTTTCTTTAGAGACAGAAATACCTGTATATGCCTCTTTTTTATATTTTTTGTGCCTGACATTAAACTTCACACTCCCATAAAATAAATAAATAAACACGACCATTGATTTATAACTGTGAACTCAAATGCGTCAAACAGTGTCGGTCAACAAACCAACTGGTATGTGTTTTTGATGATTGTTTTTTTAATGAGTTTTTTATATATTATACATGAGGCATTATTAATATTAATTGTGAACCTGTATACAGTAGTTCTTAGTCTTCAGTGAGGTATGAAAATAGTTACTGATTAGCTAATAGTGAACTACCCCATTCGTCTGATTAACAAATTACTAATTTGTTAATCAGAGTTGCTTGTTAGTTAATAGTAGTTAGACTGTTAATAGTGCGTTACTCATTTGCTCCTGTGTGGTGATTCATTAATGAATGAACAGTATTCTATAGCGTCACCCAGTAATGATTGGTATTGGTATTTGTTCTTGTATTAAGAAATTCCATTGACTGTGTTGATTTGTTGTGAATGCACTATGTTTGCTTTCAATGACTGTTCATAATGCACAACACACTGATGGCCTCGAATTCATATTCCGACACTGGCAGGGTCACATTCCCGGCATAGGTCACATTGGTGGTCTCCAGTCTTTTGTCATGTTGAGCGGTTGTAATTGCCCACACAGTGAATCAGCAGTGATCTCACAACAGTGTCATTCACATTCCTCAGTGCTTTCAGACACGACTCACCCTGCACACACACGTGCCCCGCCATTCAAGGCTCGGAAGACTCTGTCACACTTCTTACAGTATGAGGTGTCTTTCACTAGTATGCAGGCCTGCTTAAGCCAAAAAAAAAAAATTAGTTTTGTGCAATGCACTTATTGTGTTGATGTTGTATTACAAATTACTTGCGCTGCTATTGAGGTGGGACATGTGTAAGATTAGGACAGGTTTGGATTATGGGTAAATTTAAGGATGGGTTAATGGGTAAGGGAAGGTCAGCAGTGTCATTAGATGTATAGTTACAGATGTAATGTTTTTGTGCAATGTAAAAACATGTATTTATACAATATATGCATTATATCAAGGGATTTATTGAAAAGTAATTGCAGAGTAGTTAGTCCGAAGACTCATGTTGCATTGGATAATTTGGCATTCCTTAATGCAGTGAGTTTCGGAGAAATACGGGGTGGCAACGAATTGTTTTTTCCACTTTAAGGTCGTGCCACAAGAATTTCATGATCTGAGAACAGGAAGGATGCAAAATCCTCCCACCCTTCATAGAGTGGTGCAGGGATGACGCCAGGACCCGGAAGTCTAATTCGCTGCTGGTTCCTTCCAGATTTCCCTATGGGGTTTTGTAAAATAAAGCCTGTGGTAAACACAACTTTACGATACTTTGACGTTTTGTTCTGCAACTTTTGGGTGCACATCCGCACCCAAGCTAAGTATGAAATGGTAATTGACCAATTTAAGATAATCGGTTGCCTCAAATGAAATGAGTTTACACAGGTTTTAATTCATACTGTAAAGATTACAGTAAAGAAGTGTAAATTCACCGCTGGTCTTGTTTTGCTGATTTTACAGGAGTGCTGTATTTTTACAGTTTAATTGTAGTTGATGATTTACGGTAATCTTGTAAAATTTACAGGCTTACTGGCAACCAAAATTGCCAGTAAGTTGCTGTAAATTTTACAGTATTTTTTTTTTTACAGTTTAGCCCTCTGGTGCTCTTTGCATGTCTGTCAAAAATGAACGATTTTTTATTTTTATTTAAATTAAATTAATGTACTATGTTTTAGTTTGATATTATTTTATGTAATATTTTGTTTTTTTGGGGATTTTATGGTGCTAGATTATATTTACGCTGTAGTAAGATTAGATTTATTCACTTTTCCAAATTTCCGAATTAAACTGTCGTAAATCTTGAATGCGTAAAAGCACAGACTTAAGTTTGATCTATTTAGATCTCTGAAGACCACACTTGGTAGATTATTGCTGAAGTGAAAAAGGTTTAAAAACGTGAACTTAAAAAAAAGTTACAGAATGTTTTGTATTGTTGTGAAAAATGCACAAAAATACTATTTTCAATTTTTATGTGAAATATATATTTTCAAAAACATGTTTTTTTTTAAGGAAAATCTCGAAGCATGCAGCGGCGAATTAGACTTCCTGGTTCTGATGTCATCCCTGCAGGACAGATCATAATCTCATAATTCACACTCTCTCTGTACTGTTTTTTAAACATTTCCAATGGTTAATACATATTTATCTTTTATTGTGTATGGATTTTAAAATTCAGTATTCTTGCAACCTGGAGATTTTCAAGTCCCCTTTATTTATATAGTGCTTTATGCAATACAGATTGTTTCGACCCAGCTTTACAGTGATAAACAGGAAAATAATAATTCAGTAATGCAAACAGACTTCAGTTCTGCTCTAAAAAGACAGTTGAAAACAGTCATTATTCAGCTGAAGTCAGTTCAGTGTTAACTCAGTTCATAACAATAACTGTGTAAAGCTCATTAATTATGAAATTAGTTCAATTCATCTATAAAGCATCTCTGGAAAAAAGAAAATGTGATGTCATCATCATCCCACTCAATTCAGTTCTTGTCAAATAGTGTCAGAGCAGTCAGATCAATATTATTGCTGAATATTAAATAAGTGTCCCCAACTAAGCAAGCCAAAGGCAAGGAACCCAGTCTTCATCTGTGACAGAATGGAGAAAAACACCTTGAGAAACTCTTCTGGCCAAATGAACCAAAATGGTGTGATTATTATTCCCGGCTGCATCACAAGTCAGATTGTGGATTGATATATCGTTGTCAATATACTGTAACAGAAGGGTTAAAGAGGATCACACAGGGAACACTTGGACTCTTCCATCATCCAGCAAACCATGTCTTAACCGCAGGAGGATTCTATCCTATTGATCAGAAGTATAGCCATTGTTTCCCTGTGATGGATGACGTTTATTAATTTCCTGAAAGAGACCATTACAGTAATACTCTTTGTGGTGAAATGATGATGATGATGCACTTTATGCATCAGCCTGGATGAGAACTGATGACTGTGTGTGTGTGTGTGTGTGTGTGTGTGTGTGTGTGTGTGTGTGTGTGTGTGTGTGTGTGTGTGTGTGTGTGTGTGTGTGTGTGTGTGTGTGTGTGTGTGTGCGTGTAATGTGTGTGTGTGTGTGTGTGTGTGTGTGTGTGTGATCTCATGTTGTTTCATTTAGGAAGAGTTTTTCCAAATCAAAATGCACAGGTTAAGTGCTTCATCACATACTAATGGGGTTTCAGTGGAAGAGCAAATACCTTCAAACAATAATTAAGTTATTGTGTACTCTCTGCCAATATGTTTACAAATATAAAGCAATTTTAGTGTTATATGGATTTTTTTTTTTGCAATTATGTACTGAATGGTCTCCATCACTAAATAAGTTTTGGGCGCCTGCAATAATCAATTATTTCTTGTTTAAAATATATATTTTCCATATCCTGTAGGTCTTATTTATTTAGCTATTCTGTAATTGAATGCAATTGGATGTAGGCATAGTTAATTAACGTTGCCTTTTACATTCTTTTAACAAAAAATATGTATGTTTGAACTGTCCAGTGTAACTAATGTCCCAGTTTGTTGATTCTAAGGCTGTGCGCTGGTTTATCAGGATCACATTATTTGCTTCACACTTCATCGACCGAGCGTCATATGGACACAGCGGGGTCGATGCTTCTCTCAGGCGGACACAAGCGCATCTTATTTCAGCTGGATCACAAGATCTTTCCTCAAATCTAAAACCCAGTCATATGCGGGAGACTAACACAGCTCTGCATTATTTAAGCGGATGATCAGATGCACGAATCGAGAATGCTCTCATTAGCCTAATCGACTAGACGTGTAGCCTTTATAAACCTCAGGAAACGGATTCGTTGAATTTAATGAAGGTGTTGGTGTCGCATCAAGAGTAGAAAAAAAAGCAAACTATACAATGACACTGAAAACCAAAAGGACACATTTCAAATGAAAAAAAAGATTATTAAAAAAAAATGAAATAATGCAAAACCTGAAGTGACTCCAAATAAATTTCAGCTGTTCCTGAAATATTCTTCTAATATGCTATAAGAGTCAAGGGCCACAAAGAGCTTCACGAAGCATCAACAGGATCTCATTGTTGAAGGGTATCGCTCAGGTGAGACCCCCCCCCCAAAAAAAAAAATCCAAGGCATTAGATATACTACAATGAAACACAGTAGCCTAAATACAGTCATAAACAAGTGGAGAACTTACGGCACAATATATTATCAAGCAGGACAAAATTGATGAGAAGACAACGAGAAAACTGGTCAGGGAGGCTGTCAAGAGGCCGACAGCATCAAGATGTGCAGCTCTGGTTGCTCCATGTGACATCTCCAGTATTGTCCATCTATGGGCTATGGAGCAGGGTGGCAAGACACAAGCCGTTTCTGACTCAGTGGCATGGATTGTAATTTTTACATCAAGCATGCAGAAGTTCTGATATGATTTATGATGTTTATCCACTGTAATGATCTGTGGTCAGACACATAGGCCTATCACAGAGAATAGGGGTGTTCAATCCTGTTCCTATCAAGATGCATGAGGATTAGAGAACACATTGCAAAAATATGTATGTATATTTTTAATTTCGTATATTTATAGATGTAGGCTAATTAAGTTGAATTGAAGCAAGAGTGTTGGAGCTAAGTGCACACATTTCGCTTATGAATATTAACTTTCCCTTATTAAAAAAAATCAAGCCGTGTAGATGATGGGGAGAGTCCGGCTGAGACGCGTCCATCGCTCAATAGTGACGTAGGGCTCTGAGGGGACAGTAGTGAGAGGAGGGGCCATGGGTCTCTCTCTCTCTCTCTCTCTCTCTCTCTCTCTCTCTCTCTCTCTCTCTCTCTCTCTCTCTCTCTCTCTCTCTCTCTCTCTCTCTCTCTCTCTCTCTCTCTCTCTCATTGAGCGCAGTGCAGTGCGGATTACAGACTCTGTCCTCTCAGTGCAGCGGGAACTACAGCAAACAAGGGCTATATTCATACGAGCACATTAATTGCAGGTAATGGAGCTCTTTGAGGAGGGGCTCTCTCTGAACCTGTGCGTCTTTTCGTTGCTCATTTGGACTTCTACAAGTGCATTTAACCTGGACACGCAAAACGTCCTCAGGAAGAATGGTCACCCGGGAAGCCTCTTCGGATTCTCCCTCGCCTTGCACCGGCAGCTCCAGCCCTCGGATAAAACAATGTGAGTAGAATTAATTATTTAGGTTTCGTTGCGATTATTCGAGATCGTGAGTCTCCGCTTATTTATGCGCTCCGGACCCCTTCATAGATCCCGTTCCGTTCATCCTGCACCTGTGCCGCGTTCATTTTTAAACAGTTACTTCTATCTCCTCTGTGAAAACTGAACAGATGCATGAAATTGGCTAATAGTTCATAAAGAAATAAACACCCCCTATCTCTGTCTCTCTCTCTCTCTCTCTCTGAATGGTGAATGATATAAGTGTATGTCCGAAGGGTGATTCTCCAGTAAGCGTCCAGCACGCAGCGATGTGTGTGTGTGTTCGGTGCGTGTGTGTGTGTTGGGGGAGGCTTGTGCTTGAAGAGGCTGGTGCTTTTCTTACACACAAGTTAACAATACCCAACGTGATGCGACAAGTCACCAATGGACAATGGCTTTCACACTGAAAGAATTCAAAGAGCAAGACCACAAAGTCCACTCTCAAAAGTAAAGGTTCTTCAGTGGTTCTTTTTTAGCACTTTAGATTCAGCAAAGAACCCAATCAGGCTAAGAATCATTTTTGGCCCTACAAGGTTCTTGAGTTGATTATGTGGCTATTCAGAGATTTCAAAGTTCTTGATATTTTATTAGCCTACAACAATAATAATAACTATAACCATTAGGTTCATCAGATCATCATGGTGTCTGATCTCTAAAGCACTGTATGAGCCTTATTTTGAACGTTGTAGTTGATGCTGGCCACAGCCTTGAAGGAAATCTCTACTGAACAGATACAAATATACGTAGTATGTGCTGGAAGACTTTTATAATAAATGCATTTATTATGCATACAAGTTAGCCTTTTAACTTTGCTTATAGTTTTCAAGTCAAGTTGGTCACTTCAGCTTTTTCCTGTGTTCGATTACACTTTATTTGGTAACACTTTATTTTAAGGTGCTAGTTACACTTTACTACATGTACTTACTAGTAAAAACAGTAAATAAACTAACCCTAAACCAAACACTATCCCTAACTTTAACTCTTAGTACATGTAGTTAATTAATATTAATCAGTACTTATCTGAATAAGAATGTGACTACACCACCTTAAAATACCTTTAATTTAAGGTGTCTGTGTTACAGTGTAATTATACATGTAAGTACTGATTAATCAAAATAACAAATACTTTCTATAGGGTTATGATTAGGGATTAGTTTAGTGTTAGTTGCATGTAATTATGCACCATTTATCGTACATGTAACATGTGTAACAAGGACACTGTAAAGTAAAGTGTTACCCATGTTCTTTCAAGCTTTCTCTCAGATCTGTATTCTGCCTGGTACAATTAAAGATGGGATGCTATGGTCTAAGGCTGTAAAACATCTGTCATGATGGGACACTAACAGGGCTCCTTTTTGGACTAGTTTAGGACAAGCCAACACACCCTCATGGCAACTATTTTACGTTTTGGCAAAATGGTGGCTAATTCATAGAAATTTGAATAATGTCATTCATATGCTTCCGTTTAGGTGTGCGGTTTTATTATAAAATGGCCTGTTTCTGTACTAATCACATCATACAAATTCAGAAAAAATTGGACAACATCTTGTAAAATAGTTTTTTTCTTATGTTTAAAGGTGAACTCCGGTGCAAAATGAACCTCGGGTGTAATAACACATTGGTACAGACTAAATCGTTCCCTGAGATTTGTTTTCATGATAATCGAATGTAAAGAGTTTTATCTCTAAAAACAGTTTAGCTTATAACGCTAGTATATTGGGCATCGAGTAAGCAAAAAGAGATCGCTAGTTAATACCATTAACAAGGCTCAAATTAGCCCCACACTAACACGGCAGCATAATGAGTGTCCTTACATGCAAACCGAAGCATTGAGAACTTTGTAAGTGTACAGACAGTTTAATAAGAAGATACTTTACACAGACAGTACAGTTAGCGCATACAGACAGGAGCCATCTTGGAAAACAGTCTCGATCAGTCAAACCACGAACACGGTGATACGTAAGCTGAACTGTGACTTGGAATCTCATATGGTCCGTTGTTTCCGGAAGAAAGCACTGAGCGCATAAGAGAAGCACTGAACGCAACAGAGAAAATAAAAAAATTAATATAATTTATCTTATCTTCAATATCTACACGTACTGTTCGCTCACCTTCGTGGTTCGATTGATCGAGACTGTTTTCCAAGATGGCTCCTGTCTGTGTGCGCTAACTGTACTGTCTGTGTAAAGTATCTTCTTATTAAACTGTCTATACACTTACAAAGTTCTCAATGCTTCGGTTTGCATGTAAGGACACTCATTATGCTGCCATGTTAGTGTGGGGCTAATTTGAGCCTTGTTAATGGTATTAACTAGCGATCTCTTTTTTGCTTACTCGATGCCCAATATACTAGCGTTATAAGCTAAACTGTTTTTAGAGATAAAACTCTTTATATTCGATTATCATGAAAACAAATCTCAGGGAACGATTTAGTCTGTACCAATGTGTTATTACACCCGAGGTTCATTTTGCGCCGGAGTTGTCCTTTAACGTCAAAAAACAACCTCCTTAAAGTCCAGTTGTTAATTCAGTCTCTAGGTAAGATGGAAAGAAATGACATGTTGCTTTGCAGAGACCAGTTCTCTGCAAGACTGAAAAGAGTTTGCGATTTGCGATTAACGAAAAGGCTGAATGATTTACTTAGAGTCTGAGTGTGAGGGGGGTCACTGGCTAAATAGGACACACAGGGATTGTGTGTGTGTGTGTTTGTTTGTTTGCCAGGGTGTTTAAACAGTTGTGTCAAACGAACAAGTGTGAGTTTTCTTGTGTGTGGTGGAAGACACCTGTTTACAGCATCCATGAAAATGTCTCGCACCTGTGAACAGGCCTGTCTGTTTTCCTTCTGTTGATGTGTATGTCTGTAAGGCTTTTCATATTTATTTCCAGTGTGATGTGGATTTTGTTGATTCGTGTGGGGTTGGTTGAATAATGTATGTGAATGGCACTCAATCACTGGGTGTTTGCCAGGCTGCTGCTCTCAGCACAATGGCTCACACAGGTCATTTCCAGGGTGAAAGTGGTATCTGATACACTTCGTACAATGCTCTTCTCAAATCACTACTCATGTACGGTTGAGTGTGGGTAGTAATGTGTGTGCATTTTCACAGGTGTATCGATGTGCATGAATTATATCTTTTCATCAATACGTGCACACAAATAATCAGTTAGTAATCAGATTGATGAATCAATCAGATTGAAAAGCCTTCATATAAACACCTTAGTCAATCCAATTGAGCTTGATCTATATGAAATTTCAATCAGATTGAAAGGGAGGGTGTAGACCTGAAATAATCTGATCAATAAGACAAAAACTAAGCATTTCTCAATCAGATGCAAAAATACCTTGCACACACGTCCAGTGCGTGTGTGATGCGTATGTTGTTCACCAGAGCCCTCTTATTACAGTATATGACCTCTGTTTACGTACATTTTATTTCTAACGAACGTGCATAATGTTTATGGCCTACAAACTGGTCAGTGGAAGATACTGAATATTTACTAAATAAAAGCTCTTCTGATGTATTTGTATGCATAAATGAAAATGTGAATTGGATTGCAAAGTTTAAGGTTGAGAATCGAATTGGATTCATTCAGGTTTATGAAAATACCTATTTATTCTCTCTTCTTAAAATTCAGATTCAAAAACAATCAATAATCTTTTTTAATATGCAAAAAAAATAAAATAATAATGTGCAGAGCAGACCTAATGTTGTACCAAAACAACTCACAGAGTATTTCTCGATATGTTTGTTTTTAAATAAATTGCAGGTTACATTTGACTTGGGCTGAGCGTTTCCAAACTCCTCTTTTGCTGTTGTAGATTTGTCTGTTTTGATCAGCGCATCGGCTGCTTGGAATTCTTCAGCAGTTTGCCGGGATTTTCTCAGTTTACCCCGAAAAGAGGATCAGTTCTGTGGGGTTAAGGTTAGGTACACAGAGTTTACCAAGGACAGGAAAGAGGGAGTTTATTACAGAGAGGCTGATGGGGATCTGTCTTACTGCTTCACCTATGACGAACCCGGCCATATTTAATATGAGAATGCATTAGAACATTTTTGTAATTTTAATAATGCGCACTGACATGTTGGCCTACACAGAGTTTGAGTTGTGCCTCGTTCAGTCCAGCATTCTCATGTGTGTCTGGTGGTAAGATCGCAGTGGGCTCTGGTGTTGAAAGCCTTTTGGTGCTGCATGACCGCATTTCCCTCAGTTCAACTCTGTAACTCAGTATTCATGCACATAGGTTATGAGTTTTCATGCACATAGGTTAATGAGAAATGTGTTAAAGGTTTAAGAAGTGCACAGTTGCACCGATATAGAATTTTTCTCTATGTGGTTGTGTTTGTGTACCTGTATCTCCTAGCAGACACACTTAGACTTAGTAGCTTCTCTTTAATGGCACACAAAAGGTCTTCCTTCCTGTCATTCATACAGTTTCCTGTGTTATTTCTCATCGACTCCTCTATTATGAGATCTGTGAGCATCTAGAGCATCGGTTGGCATTTGTTTACACTGGAACAGGAGAAATCAGGGAATATGTTCGCCAGGCCATCTGTGCATGTAACATGAGAGATAGATCACTAGAGGCCCCTTTTCCTTTCTTTTTTGTGAGAATGGTGGCTCCTAGTTGTGTGTTTGTGTTGGTCTCCTCAGGTGTGGGTATATTTTAAGCCCTATTTTGTGATTTTTAAAACAGTAGACAATGTTTACAATGGTTTACAACACTCTCCTGAGTAATGTATGAGGCCTGCTTTTATATTTGTGGCTGAAACTGAAACTCGCTGTTATATCCAAAATAGTTCATTTTTGCATTATACTGTAGAAACACATCTGTAGCTTACAGTGCTTACACATCTGTAAGCTACAGATCTGAAGGGATGTTGGTTAGTCTCATTAGTCTCACTGTCTGTATGCATGGGGCCGATAAGTGCATCTATACACTTGCATATCTGTTCGAGAATAGG